ATCGGATAGAAGTGAGATAGTGGGATAGGCGATAATGGAGGTTCATATAGTGTTACGGCTGGAGTAATAAAAGAATTCCACTGATGGGAAAAATATAGTTCCAGTTAAGTTTTGGACTCCATGGACGGCCATCACTACTACGCAAACTAAACCTGTGCGGTAAACTGTCAAGTTAAGTATACAGAAGGAAGAAAAGGTGAAGTCAGGATTGGTTTAATACGGCAAAGTAAGCTGGACTTACAACTCAACTATCGTTTGCCCCTAGCTCTGGACGATATAAGGCATAAACAAAGCTCGTGTTCCATGTTGATTTGTCCCGAAGATTGACTCCTCCATTTCGCAAGTGCTGAAAGTGCATTTTATAATGACCAGGCACAGGAGCATTTGTAGCTCGTTCTTAAACACCAGTGGGTTCTGAATTTACCTTTTTTCTCGACGATCATTCCTTTCGTATAAGTATCTAATAAATAAGAATAAACGATACAGCAGCTACTTTGTCCTACTTTGAGTAACGGTGCAATCCTTGTTACTGTGAGCAAATTCTGATCCACTGGTCAGATTCAAGCAAGAGATAGCACCATGCAGCTTTTGTTGTATTAGCATATGCAGGAAGCGGTGGTTCAGGATGAACGTCCCTGCCAAAGCGGCTGAAGTTTAAGTTGGAACAATGGGACAATGCTCAGTTATGTTAAGATTGCAATGTTTAATAACTCCCTTTGGATGGAAGTCATGGAGAAGGTGAAAGTTCATGAAAAATAAAAAAGCTTTTTGGTGGATTCAAAATAAACATGTTTGGTAGAGTTGAGCTTTTCTTAAGATAATAATATACATCCATTAGGTGGAATTTTGGAGGCACACTGTGGTTACGCTTTTAGCCTCATGGTGAATACAAGATATACAATGAAATGCCAGCGGGACGACGCACCGTCGTCGTTTTTTTGAATATCTTTAGGTTGGAGACATAGACGACCGAATTTGGGAATGTGTTCCACGGCTGACGCACTCGAAGGCCGAAGAAATTTCTACGGCATTCCAGCCAGGTATACCGGATTGTTAGTTTCAGAGGACGACCTGTTATTTTCGTGTTGTTATTCGGTTTCCTTAGCGAGAGGCATTATGGTTTCGGTTCTTCACTATGAATTAAAAAATTATGAGGACCCAAGCAAAGGCCGATATCGACTGCTGTACATTCCTAGGGACTTCAATCTTAGCTGATAGGGCAGATGGAACATACCTCTAACGTTCTTTTGTTGCCTTCCGTTAAGGAATCACTAGATCAGCGAGGTCCTGTTTCTGCCACGGCTGCCAAGCTTGGATCGCGTGTTCCACGTGCGGTCGCACCTAGTCATTAAGCATTTATAGGAATATTGAGGGATGAAACCGACCGAAGGTTTTATGAAGAAGTTCAAACGCTGATTTCAGATTATCGACGCCTTCTCTGCTTGTTTCGAGCACCCGAGAACCTCCTGTATTAGCACATCTACATAGCACTTCAAACTTGTACGCTCTCACCAGAGTGTTGAAATAGATGGGGAATAGAGTTAATATAGCCGGTAGTGTTCTAAATGAGTTCATCCACTGGTAGCTGTTAACAAGTCGGATGGATCTATGCGCTACCCACGAATGCAGGCAATAAATTCCCACTGTCTTCTATTGATGAGTTGATGGTCAGATGTTTAAACGCCAAAATCATCTTGAAGCACGATATTCTAATTTACTTTTTTAATTGCAGCTGGATCCAGCTCGCAGACAATTGACATCTTCCTCGCCCAATATGGTATATATCATACAAGGTGTTGTTAACAGGGCTCTGGCAGTACACCAGCTGCTTGGCAGAAATTTGTCACCTTATTAGCTGCAATCAAAAGATTTGTACTGTACATGTAGGACATTTATGTAATCGGGGCATTAATCTCCTTTAACAAGTACTAACCTTAACGACGTAGTATAAAGACTGAGTGAAACAATCCTCGTCTGATTGATAGCAGGTGCCAGCACGCAGTAAAGTTGGCAGAGTTCGTCGTGGATATGATTTCCAACTGCGGTGTGAGGTCAAATGAGAAAACCACCAGTGCCACTTTTGGCTGTCAAAAACTGTTCAGTAAGAGAAAAGTGCAAGATTTCGTGTATTTGTTTCAATTTCCTCCAAAATTTACCGAACTATTCGAGTAGTACTTAGCTGCAACAGAGGATGACGTGCCAAAATATTACTACCAGTGGGCCGCTGAACAACCTGATACCTATACGAGCACAAGAGCTACGTTTGCGTCCAAGCTTACCGTTGCGATCCATTTTAATAAAGCAATAATTTACGCAATATATGACATTGTACAATGAATGTTTCGGATGTCAATCTCAGCAAGATTTTGTTCCAGTTGCGTGGTAACGAGGCAAAAGCATTTGCATACACCTCATACCGTCTGTTAGCGTACCAAAGAACCTTTTCTATAAGGAAAAAGGTGCATTTAGCGCGTCTTGGCTTGTGAAAAGTGGCAGTTCTACTTATTCGGACAACGATTTACCCTGTGCTCCGTTCATTATGCGCTTACAACTCTATACACTCTATGAAAAGCCAAATACTGATGCAGTTTAGTCACTAGTATTCACATCTAATATAATACAACGTTGGAATGTAATACCTTCCATAGTGTTCTGTCCAAGCTGCGCTCGATGATTCGAGGCTTCTGATTTCCAAATAAGGAGAGCATGGGATCAAGAATTGGTAGAGTTTATACCTCACCTTTCGAAATATGAAAGAATGCTGCCAAACATCCAGTTATGGCAAAATTTTGTCATGGTAGATTGTGCGATAATTTAACATAAGTTACATCCATTTTATGAGTGGAGGTATATCTGCCAACTGCAGGCAGTTGCGTAGTAATAGGTCAACAGCTTGTTATGCTTAGGTCACACTTATCAACTGAGCCAGATTAAACACTTGAGAATCCCTGCCATTGTGTTATGGAAACCCCGGATACGCTAACACTTCTGGTAAATGTATGTAACTGCCAGGGTCGAGACTGTTAATTCCTAACACCCCGAGGTGCCTGATGTTGCGAATGTTTGGTTCAAGAAGGAACTTTTGCTACTACTTATGTAAAAGTAATATGTTCCACATGGCATTTGTAATCACAAGGAACAGAGAGCTTGTCAATCTCGGTCGCATCTGGAACCTGAATTAAATGACACATTTTCCATTTCCTCTTCATTTTTGTTATCTAACCTCTGGTTTGTTTATTTGTGAACACCGTGTTTAGAGTACAAATATCCAAACACCTTGTTGTAACACGCCACATCTTGCGTTATTGAATAAGTGCAGACCATCTGAGCTGATATCTGCGACTAATTGGGAGTCTGTTCACCTAACCGTAAGTTATGAATTTCATATTGCTGCATAATCACGTACGTAGAACCATGACCGCGTCAGTAGCATTTTTCTGTCCACAGTCCCTAATTTTCACAGCGCATACTATGATTTTTGATAAATGTTATCGACTCATTGTTGTACAAGGTTTCTGCAGTTACGGGGGGCACTATTGCGGAATGCTATGGCTGCCAGCAACCTGATAAAAGCGCAATTATCCTGGACGTTCCAGGCCCGAATATCAAGTATTAATGGACTCACGAGCAAAAATTGCTATGGATATCACCCGCCAGTTTCAATGCAACTCCCCGAAGCAAAACCTGCTAGCTATCCCATAATACTATTGCAAAATGCCGTGCGTTGTTTTGGTAGAAATCGTCGCTAAACCTGCGATTAGGAAATATATTTACTGGTGGTTTCCAAAGTATGTTTGAAGGAAGAAATAATAAATTCCGACTCAATGAGTGCTTCAATTCCTTGAGACAAAATGGTATCCAACAAACAAAAAATCAATCAACTAATAGGGCGGTTAAATACTGAAAGTCTAGTTGAACTACCCAACTGCATTTTGAATGAGTCTGTGCAAGTTCTTCAGCGCTCTGGATCATTTTAAACCTTCCCTCTTTGTCTGTAACGACGAATATCTGGTCCGAATATATGGTAGGAAAACAATTTGAACTCGGTTTACTATAACGTTCAGATCCGTAGAAAACCTCAAGTATAAGGAATAGGGAAGGTTAGCTGTTTGACAAACTGGATACCAACGATTGAGGAAAACCTATTCCACAGTTACGTTCATCCGTCTATACTAAATTTTCCCGGATAGCTGGTGGGACATTTTTACGTTTAACTCATGCAGTGTCATTTCTTACGCTAAGAAACTTCAAGGTGACAAGTGGAACAAAATTAAATGCAAAACGGTTGCGTAACAATATTTCATAACAAATGGCTGTGCAGGTGAACATTTCCGCTTCACAATGGATGACGCAATCAAGTAGATGCTAGCGGAGACTTGATTGGATGCGTCAATGTGTATTATGTACTGATTCCATATATAAGGCCAAGGGCTGTTGTTCTTAATCATACTTTTTGGCACATTCACATGACTTGCTTACACACATTTAAGCAAAAATGCTTGCCCTGTGTCCAATATTTTGCGGCTGACTTGACTAAGTCGATGAACCAGTAAAACTGATTTACTTTGCTAACTTGCCAACCAGTAACGTCTTTGGACTTCTAAATAATCGAAGCATTTGCGCGTTTATAATCTCGATGCCTTAAGTCGAAGCCATTGTTCCTTAGTTCCATAATGTCTATGTGAGTGTTCGTTTACGACTGCAGTTCTCTGTCTCTTCGGACCAAGCACAGTTATATAATCCTTCTCATCTGTCATTCTGTTGCAGATCATACACGGAGACAGGCAAGAAACTGTATTCAATGGTGGACGAAAAGAGTGATAAAAACAATGACTAAATGTTTTTGTTAATATCGCAAAACACCTGCGGTTCATCCACAGCATTTGGAGACCCATGCGAATAACAGTCGTCCAGCTCTACTAGCATTGTCGAAGACGAAGCGCACAAAGGTCACATGCGAGACTATATTCTCGTCGAGTATGTAACGCTTTTACGGCGCAGTTGGTCCTATGCGCGATACCGAACACCGAACTCAATTCGTCTGGAATCGATGACATTCACTCGAGCGCGTTGTATGCAGCAGCAACAACGCTGCCCGAGCCATTAGCACATTTCGTCCAAATTTGTTTGGATGAGCAAACTGTGGGTACCATGTGGAAACAAGGCAAAATCACTCCACTTTTCAAAACGGATAATCGGTCGGAACCCGCAAAATATTGCACAGTGGACCTTCTCCCTATACTCTCAAAGGTGATAGAGGCAAGCACCGCCGAGGCTTTAGTAGCCCATCTAATATGCACTAACCTCACAGCACCCGAGCAACACGGTTCCCACAAACGCCGTTCATGCACTACCAACCTACTGATTTCACGCAGTAGTTGGACTGAAACGGCCGATGAAGATAGAGGGACAGACGTCATTTACCTCGACTTATCCAAAGACTTCTCTATTGACTGGACCGCGCATTCTGCTTTAAAAGCACGCAAGCTAGGAAGTTGGTGATCCTGTCCTTGGGTGGATCAGGAATTTCTTGCATGATCGGCAACTGTAGGTCGGACTTCGAAAAGCGCCGTTTAATCCGATTCATGTGGAATTTGTGGTTCGGAAAATCGCAGTTCTGGGGTCGTGTCTATGTATCGTGTTCCTTAACGTGCTTAGGCTTTTGATGGCCTCAGATTTTTTGTTCCCCGGTGATATTAAGTTGCGGATAATCGCTGACCCAACAGATCATGTTGCACTTCACCGAGACCTAGACAGAGCATTTGAGTGGTCACTGCACAAGCTACTCCAGTTCAATTCGGGGCAATGTAAGATTGTTCCCATTCGCCACCAGCTGAACATCGCATGCAAGCTTGGAGACCATGTTCTGCAAGCAGTCACCCAGGAGCGCCATCTTGGGATACTAGTCCAGGGTGATGTTGACCGCTCAGAACAACCTGAGAAGGCGTCAAATACTGGAAACCAACACGCTAGCATGCCACGAATAGCATTCGGGCGCTTTGATCCCTCTGTCTGTTTGCAGTTGCTTAACACATACATGCGGCCGCATGTGGAACAAACAATTTAGGCTTGGCAGCCATAGCACAAGCAAGACCTCCCAGCGCTCGAGACTCCACAGCGACGAGCCACGAAGCATGTCAACGGGTCGTTCTCTCTTCTTTATCAACTTAAGCTGAGCAATCTGAAGTCAAACAGCGGCTGGTATGGGCGCCAACGTGGCGACTTTTTTATGACCTACCGCGTTCTGTAGAACCTCAAGCACGTCTGCTGTCACCTACTACAACTCAGTGACAACAGGAATTTGAGGGGCTATCAGCTCATGTTGGCTACGCAATAGAGTCGGTTAGAATGTCGACGAAACTTTTGCTCTCTTCATGTGTGGAAACCCTCCAAATTACGTTATTTCCACCCCCACTTTTCCTGTGTTTAAAAAGTGCCTGACCGTTGCGGATTTGAAGCTGTTCTCCGAAATGAGTGATCATTTTGATAACCAATAATTTATTTCGGAAAACAGCTCAAAATCCGCATCCACATCCCCACCTGCATCACGAGTAATAGTCTGTGTGTCTCAACAGAAAATGTAATGCGACAGAATTTGCTCAACAAATATTAACCTAAACAGTTGAGATTGTTTCTTAATGCATGCATTTGTGTTGACAGTGTGGTGAGTCCACCGTAACGATATTCATTTTATCCGTTCGTCTTCGCTGCACCTTATTAGAAATCTTATTCTACGGGAGTTGCTACACACTTTCTTCCTTGCCCGTATTATGCCATTGTTAAATACTGTAACATTTTTCCATATATAAACCATTGTACTACACCATTGTTCAGTGTAACGCCTAGATTTATCGGTAGCCATCACACAGCTGACCAGTTTTAAAAATTATCATTTTTCTGTTTCAACGGCAATGGGCCATCAGGATTAGTGTACCTGTCACAAAATTCTAGATCACTTGGCAAATAATGGACGGCCTACTTAGGTGCTAATGCAAGTAGTCAAGATGAATGGGAACGACAAGTTTTAGATGACTGACTCCCGTGAAACTCGACCAAGAACGGTCGATAAGAAGGAGAAATCGAAGCGCACCTGAGTACACAACACTTCCTTCTCAGAACAGGAACAGCCAGGACTTCACCATAGGCCGTAGGACTGAGATTTGTGCGGAACACAACGGTATTGAACGGTTTTGGAGCAGGTAATTGGCAAAAGCTTACCACTGGGCCAAAGTCTATGGGAATGGCGGTCCACAGTGAGATTACGCGTTGCAATTCATTCACACCACCAGTGCTAAAAATGGGACCCTCCAATCCCTCAGTAAGCGTTATGACTAGCGTTGAAATTCATGAGCCGGTAGCCGATGGCGTAGAGGTTTCGGCTGACATCCTAATCGTCCCGGTTTCGTTGCCTAGTATATCTACCTAAGGAGAACACATAAGTTCAAAGCATATAGTGGAATGCAATGTTTTCGGGCGGGCAGCACATAATACGTGTTTAGTTCACCAGTTACAATCGCATTGATCGATTTGGCCAATGTCCACTTCACTGTGTGTCACGGTCCACGTATAGATTTAGAGTCCCAATCCCTTTAGAAAATGTGTGCTTCAAAATGATCTCACAAACGGTTACTTGGGATTATTATTTGTCTCTGTTAACTTGAACAGTAAGCTCGGAAAGCTGCTCTGCCTTCAGTTCGCTGTAAGATGCTTATCACCGTATTTCAACGGAGCATTCGATGGCACCTCTCTAGTCAGCAGAAGCAGATAACGATAAAGTGATCGAAAAGCCGAAGCGTGGTGGATTAACAGGGCACGTGGGTCAGTTAGTATATTACCTTGAGATGGATGGTGTCTATCACTGCAGCAGTGGCGTAGTAATTGGTTTTGCCGGCCAGGGGCGGGCGTGAAATTTCCGTCCCTGGCAGTTGTGATTAGATCAACTTTACAATTGCAAATCGCCATTCAATATTTCGTTTCAGATAATTATAGGGATCATATTTTAGAGGGTTGGCGTAAATGCAGGTATTTGTATTGTTACCACTCCTTACATAATTTGCCGATACACTTTCGTGCATTACTTCCGGCATTAAGATTGCTATCTCTTACGAACTTCAACCCATTGGCAAGTTCCTTTGTATGGGAGAACTGCCCATTTGTGATTTTTATTTGATTCATTACTGATTGAAGGCAGTTCTTTATACGTCTGCGTTTTGGAGTGCGCTCGCAACTCCAAGGTCAATAAATGTTCTAGTAAGTAAGATAAGCTGCAGAGTTCCCAAAGTGCACAATCGTGTTTAACAAAATCGATGACATCCCAGCGGAAGCGTTTAGGCTTGTGATCCTTATCCTTAATCGTAGTGCAACATATTCGGTAAAGTTTGAGTGGCTAAACGGCCGACTCTGAAAATCCCCAGCCCTAATCAAACTGATTGCCAAGGAATAAGCACATTTGCACGCTGTTATAGTAACTTGTGATAAACAAACAATGCTACTGAGTTGAAACAGTTGTAATTTTAGCAAATGAAGCTAAACCGAAGCGGGTGCCTACCAATCTTTTGGACCGCGAATCAGGTTGGTAAAATTTCATAACAATCATAGTCGGCCTTATATAACCCCCAGCTCAGCGACGATAAGTGCGTAGGCGCGGACACAAAATTGTGTCCAATAAACAGCGGTGGCACCCAGAGGCAATCGGCCCCGCACAAGAACAACGCCGAGAAGCTCCCCCGAGGCGGCTATAAAACTCTTACCTACCCTGAAGTGGCGAATGTCGGGGTGCCATTTCAATCAGCTTCCGGATGAAGCAATAGGCAGTGCAGCATCTCGATTATTAACATTCCCGACGCTATCTCGGTGGACGCATTTAATTGGGCAATCATCGCAGCCAATGGTCTAGCAGCAAATTTAGCAGGGGTTGCGCGTCTTAACGAACGAATCAGCAAATTTGCAGCTCCGATCACAAGTAGTGTTAAGGATGAAGCAGAGTTGATCACTGTTTTGACAAACTGCGAGTAACTACGCAATGCAACCATGATTGATCAGCTGTATCGCATGTGCCAAGACCCGGTGTACTGAAATCTGACCAATTTAATAGGAAAAATGTCAAATATGCTCTGGCCGCCAAAAGTGTACCTGTAGCTAGCAGTTCATGTGGTATTGACCAAACTGCCCCTAACCAACGTCGCATAAATCACGACTTAAATGTTTCTGCCACATGCTGTAGATGGATACAGCCTGAACAGACGCTTAGGCCGACCGATTCACTTCTTCTTGCCCATTGAGAAAATCGCTTGTATACGAGGTATGGATGAGCCGTGATAAGATCAATCTGACACCCAAAACGTCACTACCTAGAAATCCGCTTCCGTGTCAACTTATCCCGTTCTTGCACAGTAGCACAGTAGCACAGTAGCACAGTAGCTATCCGTGAGTGTTGCGTCATCTATTCGGCCAGGAGTCTCTGGCTGTCACTTTGTAACTATCCATATAAACGCTAGTTCCCTTAGCACTTGAATGAATTTGCTGTATCTGATGCAAATTTTGTAACGGAAACTGGGTTCAGACCATGCACTGTGAATGATCCTTACTCCCTTTCTAACTACCAGTTATACATGCAATATTGTGCGTGCAGGCGAGTTGAAGAGAGTGAAATCTACATAGAACAAAAGTACCCTGCAAGAACGGGAATCATCGGCACCTCTTAGACGACGGACTGCTACGTGATAAAAGCCGATATACGAGTGACAGTGCACTCTTGGCTACTTTAGAGCACGGCTCGAGCCATCCGTTTAAATACAAACATGTCGCAGGGGCATGCAATTTGTCTGACAAGCACTTGTTCCCGTTTATCTCTCAGACCCAGTATGCAGCTTTGCTAGCATGCATCAACCTAGTCGGATGGGCGTAAACTTTTTCAGACTGGACCAGCATAAAACAACTATTATATTTGATGTTCACACTTGGCGCTCCCAACTTGCAGAAAATGACTACGAAGGTACACATTGTGCGTTGTAGTTAAAAGCCATTACACCTGCTCTGTCTGAACCACTACAATCGATATTTACCGCGCGGTGAGTTCCACAAACTTCCTTATCCTTGCCATGCTCATGAGAACAAGGAATTGGTTGGGATGATTTTCCGATATCCCACCTCCCTGGAGTTGTCGGCTGAAATATTTTACAAGGAAATTCTCTATTGTCTGTTCTACATGGCTTTATTTTCGTGTTTGAAAATAAATTCAAAATAAGCTAAGTTGCTTAGTAGTACGTATCAGCCAAGCAGGTCCTTCAATGTGACTTTCAACGTTCCCCATATCATGAGTGCCAATGTGTTTGCGGATTAGTTATCCGCCAAATCTATGCAGATGAAACTAACCAACATTGAGCCGCAGCAATTAGTACGAACAGAGCCAATTAACTCAGGTGGCTGTTGCGTTCTCGCATTCCCACTTCGGGGCGCAATTCTCCGGCAACACGACTAATGACCCACGTTAAGTATGCGAAACTTCCAAGATATAATTCTAAGTCAGAATGTATGGAAGTACCTCCAGTTATGGATGAGCTGTGTGTGTCCACCAACTAGTCATTGTGCGCAGTGATGTGAGATAAAATTTCTCCGTTCCGCTAT